TATATTTAGATAGTGTCTCTTCGCTCCTTTTACTTTGGAATCGCATAAAGCTAATCGCATAATTGCAAAAGCTCGATTCCGGATTATTTAACGATAAGTTGTGAAAATCAATATTCGATGAGGTTCTAGCCTAAAGTTAGTATGAACTTTCGTAGTACAGTAGTGACTTGGTTACTCATTGTTGATGAAATTGTTTCTCCTCTCATTGGTTGTAACGCGTAATAATCACAAACATGTTCAAAGTTCATAAAAAAAAAAAACTAAAAATCCTCTAGTTTTATTTACTAACGATGAATTCCCAACAAATGGGTATGAGTAAATAGTTTTCACCTTAACTACAGAATGAAAGCAAGCGAAGGTTGAAATATGAGCAATTGTATTTTAGAGTCCAATAAAAGTAAAGCTGAAGGTCCGCCACTGGTTAGGATGGTTTTTATGACAACGACGTTTTTGCCAATTGTCCTCAAAACCATCTCCGCAGAATTACTCAGTTTGAAATATTATTTTTGAGTGATAAATTTAAAAATAAATGCTAATATTTCCGAAAATCTTTACCTGTAATTATAAAACAAGTATTAAGTTTTAAAGAGATTGATAAATAATAAATACTCGTAGATTTGAGATTTTACAAAAATACTTGTTTGGACAGCCGAAAGTTATAGCCATCGTCTTATAATTAGAAGGTTAGGTTTAGGAGGATCGTGTCGGGGCCCAGATGCTGTTTTTGAAATTGGTTATCAATCAAAGATTTTGACATTATATAGTTACGAGATCAGGACCACTCCCTTACGAAAAGGAAAAAATGGCAATGGCATAAAGAACCAAAGACAGAATAGAATGATTGAACCGAATTATAATCCCAGCAAGAAGGGCGAATTCTTCACATTTTAAACTGGCGGTAAGTATATAGTTAATGGTATATGTAATCGTGAGCCTGTTTTCTTCTTGACAACTCGATGGCTCTTAATTACAGTTTTTAAAACATCTTTAAATTACTTATTTCTCATAGGAGTTGTTTAATGAGAACAAAAAGTAGGTAGGCTAAGTAAGAAAAAAAATCAATGGTAGTAAAATATTTTTTTAAATTTTTTTTCATCTGTATTTTTACCAGTAAAAATCAAAATCAATTATTGGAATATTTCATTACTTGTCATGAAAGCCACAAGTTTTTCTATTTGTTCATCCAACATGCCTGAACGCCGCTATTGTAACGTTAAAAAGAAGGACGTGGGTGTAATGTAGGACGTTAGAGAGAAGAAGTTTAAGATTCAAAAGTGCAGACAACAAGTCTTGATTGGGACATTATGCAGCACAACGTCCCCTCTTAGGGACTTTGTTTCGAAATTGCTCAGAATATTTTACATACAGTTTTGTTACACTAAAATATTTCTAAACTTCTTTATTGTGTATATTAGTAATATACTAAAGTGACTCTTTTCGATCCGAGCTCAAGTTTGGCTCAAGGAAATGAGTGAGGGTCGAAAAGACACTTTTTGCCTGTCCGACGAACTATATTTTATCAACTATCGACATACAGCCTAAAGCTGTGAGTGTGAAGAAAATCGGATTGCGCCAGTGTCGGTGAATTTTCAAGTGCAAAATTATCAGTTACATCGATTTTGACGTAGATGTTTCATACAGGGACGTGAAGTTTCTCCTATTGTCTTTATCGTCAACTTACTGTTTACTGGTTTAATTTTGTATGTGTTGTTTAAACATTCCAATATATGCCTACTTAATCATTTTTTATGCTTTGTAAAATCAAAACGAACCTGTGGTAGATAATATTCTATATGGGCCTATGCCTTTAGATCTTTAACTCGTAATGTTTTTACTGTCTTACGAAATAAAGAATTTACACACTGATTGCAGAATGCAGTATTTATAATTCATCACTTATTCATAACGTAAATTTTTATCGTAGGAAACCCTATAATTGGACAACTTGGTAGACAAGAGGACCAGAGGTTTCGCAATAAAGTTAAATTAAGGTCATCAAATGTTGGAGAACTTGACTAATTAATTAATTGTCACTTCTGAATGTGTTGTTTGGATGATGAGGTGAGGATGACTGTGGAGGGGGGTGAGATGGCTAGAAATCTGTCACTGCAACATAATATTACAAGCTGTGTGGTTATCTAGCCATTGAATCCACATATATACAATCTAATCAAACTAATATTGTATAGTAAAAATGTATATAAACAGCTCTTAATCACTCTAGATTTTATTAAAATAATTGCAAAATTTGTAAGTATTTTTTAATTTATATAGCGTAAGGTTTCATTACACTTCTAACTTTGAGATAAATAATTATAAAAATCGAACATTTTGTGTATGATTAAAATAACACAAATTAAAATCAAAGGATATTCTGTGCTATCAAAGGATATAGATGTACTTGTTTTGAAAGTTTTAGGTTATTAATAATAAATTATGAGCAAATGAATATGTTTTAAAAAGAATTCTAACAGAGAATGAGTAAAGAGACTGATAGCTAGGGTTAAGAAGGTTAGATCTCTTTGTGATTTTTTAGAATTCATGCCCATAGTTGAGGTTTGAAATAATTTAAACTCAACATCGTAATTCAATTAATCCACTAATGTTTGTTAACGGATAAAAACATACCCATTGAAGCAACTGTAATAAAGAAATTTGTTAATGAAATAGTTGCGACAACTTTACCTTTTCCTGCGATGATAAATGAATTTATGTTTTGTTTAGAAATTAAAAACTGGTGACCTTGAAAGTAAGTTAAGGTAAAGCGAGTCTACAAGAACATAAAAACTTTCTTTGTTAGGTGAATATGAGTCTCAAGGGTAAAAAGGATCTCAGGAATAACTTTGCAACTGAAATTAGTTTTTTGATTGTCTTTCGAACGATGAGACTTGCCTTAACGAGCCTTGTAAATCTTCGTGAGATCGTCATCCTTCTGAAATATCTCCATTTACAAGTTAAAATATTTCTACCGTGTTCATAGTATTTAATCCGATAAACCCATTTAAAAATGTTAAGAATGAACATGTCCTCGTATATTGAACAAATCTCTCTGCATAAATTCGCTTAAATAAAAATAAATTGATATAATTTAATTTGACAGTTAAGCAAATTCATAATACTGTACATATTTAAAACTCCTAGAATATTTATATGCGATTAGGACAATGACTTATTAAAAATACACTAAATAATCTTTTTGATACAAACAAACGTGCAACGAAATTCTCTAACAAAAATGTAATAGTTATTATAATGGTTTTCAACAGCATATAATTTTATTTAGTCTTTCAAAAATCTGTACATCTTAGACTAGCCTGTCGTGCAAAGGTGGCTATTTTTCCTCAGAAACAATTTATTGGTGATTACGGCTACAGATTGAGTTTCGTGCTGAGGAGAGCGAATTCTAAACACTTTGTAAGCCTTCATCGAACAAAACTTCCGGTGCTTTGTAAAAACTCATTTGCTCAGAACTTATTGCTTGTTACGCTAACGTGATGCTCGTTGAACCAAATACATTTTATATATCTTAAAAAATAATGACCCAAATGGGAAATTCTAATGTGGGGGGAGGTGTAACAGTTAAAGTTTGCAAATTTAACAGTGAAATGATCAAATGATGGACTAAAAAGTTGTTTACACTAGTAACTCCTACAATGTAAACATAAATGGTGTATATGAGTGTTAACTTTGGAGCTCATGGTAGCACGGTATTAAAGGGGGAATAAGTAATTCCGTTGAGTTTATAAAAACATTGATACCTAATTTTAGTAATTTTGCCTTCTCAATATTTTATGTTTGACAATGCTAAATCAATGCAATATTATTTTCGAGAGAAAACCTACAATTTTTCTACGTTTACGATAAAGTCAAAGATTATTGAAGTAAGCTACAATATACAAAACAATAAAAATTAATTTTATAGTTTTAAACAACTTTTTACAGATTAACCTGTCAAGAATGACAGGTTTATAGATTTATTAGGTTTTTAAAATTTATCTTCCAAGTGTGTTTCCTGATTTATGTATATTCGCCCTGAGTCAAAAGGGCAAAGGGTTGTATGAATATTTATATTGCGAGTTGTGAGCCGCAACCCCCAAGCAGATCCTAAGATCAGTTTTGACATTTTTCGTTCCAATTTCCATTCTATCTCCGCCGGTAAGGGAACAAAGGAAGTAACTGTTAAATGCTCAGTTTTGTTTGGTTTTTCACACCATTAAGATTCTACGGGTCATTACAGGTATTTTATTTTTTAGGTCCTAAAGATATTTTCAGAAATTAGTTAACTAGGTCATTGTCGCATTTCTTTTGAAAAGTGAATCCGAATAAAAAATATTTTAATTGAAACCTTGCGGTTGATAACATAGGTGCGACTGACTCCTTTCTTGTAGTCACGAATAAAAGATACTAATGAAATAATGACAATATTTCAAGTGTAGTGTTTTTTTTATTTTTTTTCTTCAAAAACCTCCAATTATTGAAAAAAAATTTACTGAGGACATCCAACCTTAAATTACATTAGGAACTTTCTATAAAATTGACTCCTTCAATGTTTTTGAGAGAAAAGATTCACACATTATTCTTAACCTAATAAATAGGAAAAAACATGTCTTTTAATGCCTAAATTCTAGTAAAAAACTAATAAGCATTGTTTTTATGTTAAAAAAGCTAACAACTTAACAACGAACCTTACACCAGCACTTAATTTATCAAACGTTCATATACCCATGTATTTCAGGTCAAATATTTTGAAGAATGTTTGTTAAAACTCAAAGTATTGAATAATGAAGTACAGTATCTTTTTGTTGAGGTTTACACCGGTATGTATAAAATATTGAAAGTATTCATGGATAAACACCCCTCTCCCGAAAATAAATGTATGTATGCAATTGCAATACACTTTTTTCTCGAAAATAGTCAAGCCATGCGAAAAACAACATTGATATTTTTACATAAGTTCATGAGGGTTTCTTCCTCTTTTGCTGAGTAACAAATTGACTTACCGGAAAGGGTTGTAATTCCAACGCTGCTACAAGAAACCTCGTCAGCCCAGCTGATCCTAAAACAATAGAAAATCGTTGTTGGACTTAAGTTAAAAACGTCAAATATAATTAGAACACAAGAACCTTTCTATTATCAAAACTGTACTAACACGATTTTTCCTTAAAGATGAATGCTTGAGAAACTTAAGTCTAGTATTTTAGTTTTGAAGGATTGACCTCTCTCATTATAAACCAAGTATTTCTGGAACCAAATTATTTTAGAACCCATTGCTCCCATTTTGGTACACACAATCTAAGTTACAACAATTAGAAATACAATTTTTACCATTCATCCATAACTTTTGATTGAATATGTACTTAATCATTCTGTGCATATATTGTAGACTGCTTGTACCCAAAGTCCTGTATGTAACATGCTACCAGGCAATTCTCAAGAGACCGTATACTAATGTGAACAGGTTTACTGAAAGAATTGAAAATTCTTTAGACAAGATGAAAAAGGAGAAACCGTGTAAATTCATACATCCTATTTTTTTTCTTTTAACAACGTTTTCATTCGAAACTTAAGATTTGAAATATCCCTACTTAAATAGACCATCAAGAATGAACGCACCAATAAAGTTGTACATTGTGGAGAATGTGAGACATTTACTACAATATTACATGTATAAGAACCCACTTGCCTCACATGAAGCAAGTTACATTGTTAACTAGCGCTTCAACTTTACACGCGAGTTTCATAAAGTCATCAAACGACGTTCGTGATTTCATATAGTTATGAAATTCCACCTTTAGAGTAACGGTATGGTTTGTTTAACATGTTAACATTCTATTGAATTTATATCAACTGTATGTCCATATCGGTATGCTTTAATCTGCTATTTCAAAAAATGTAATGAAAATTAAAAGTAATATTAGTTTCAAGGTATCAAAGATTTTTATTATTCTATGTATGTTCTAAGTTTGAGCACTGTTGGAATTTTTCGAATTTTTTTGGGAGGGAACTGTTCATATTCCTGTTATGTTACTATCTCAAGTCAACCGTTGTGTTTAATAGCATAACTTCTTGATAGCTAAATGACCAATGTAATTTGTGTCTAGAATCGACTTCGCTTAGGTTACAACCAGCAATCTTTCGATTTGAAGGTGACTCAAACCACTCAACTACCCATACTATTTGACTGTTTCAAAGTAATTAAACGTAATAGAGGTGTTAAGTGTGTGTAATGTACCAGTAGTACATTTCTTTAAGATATGTGTGTGTAGGCCTATGTGTAAAAAATCAAAATAACACTCTCTCCTAGGATGACACGCTGACTGGTGAAATATTCCGGAGACTATAGAAAAAACTTCAGAAAGAACAACGGTAATACAAAAAATGTGGCTTAAGATGCCACTGCAAAAAAAACAGTTAAAGTTATACAAGGTAAACTTTTTATATAATTTTGTTTTTAAATGCTAAAAAATCAGTTTAGTAAAAAATTAATTTGTTTAAGAATACATCATATTTCACCAAAAGAAGACCTTTTTGTAGTGTTGTAGTTTTTGCAAAATCCCCTATATTTAAAACATAACTCTTCTTTATACATACAGATATATTTTAAATTATAGCTAAAAATAGTGCGGTCACCATGTACTGTTTGTTTGAAATCCAAGTCCAGTAAGAGCAAGATTTACCTTAGAGATACTTTGAACTTGAGAAGTTTGCCTAGCTCTCTAACACACGTTCAAACAAACATTCTTCTGAAACCTGACACTCTATGACATTACATTTTGGTGTAAGTTTAAGCTTTTAAGTCAATTTCGTAAATTTACGTGGACATAGAAGGAAATCGGTCCATAAAATAGGAGACAAAAATAGATATACATTAACTACTATGTACTTTGTTACGTGTTACACTACATTTGTTCAGTGTTTCCCATTTATTTTCTCCAGGATAATTATTTTTTTTTACAGAAAATATTCATTAAGTGTTCATTGAGCCATATGAAGGTTTAAACATGAGAACGAATTTACGCGCTCAATTCTACATTCGCAAAAAAGTTTCAGACTTCAAAAGCCCGTGTTTTTTCCAAATGTTCAAATCAAAGCTTTAAACAATTTTAAATTGACTTTTTCATAGTTTGAATCATAATTTAAATAAACAACTAGGCCTATTCATAATAAATGATTAATTTATTGCCTTATGTTTATGATTTACTTACATATTTAAAGTGTCAAATGCAGTAGTACGACTTGCAAAATCACTAAAATATTAAAATTCAAGAGCATTAAAACAAACTTTGTATTTGGTAAAGCATCAGAACAAAAACAAAGAACAAAAATAATAAACAGACTTTATTTAAAGTCAGCTGATTAATTTTAACAAAGAGTAATCAAATTTAATACATTACACGGCTAACGTTGTCTTCCATGTTATCCTTCTAGAGAAAGTTTTAATCTTTGCTTATTGGTAACCGAATAGATTATAATATCATTGATAAAACATACTCCCTTAGTAGATTTCTCATCCTTATGGAACAGCTGAAGCCAATTTTATTGTTAGTTCTGCCCAGTGTACTGTGGAGGTCGTGTTTTGTTTACGATTTGTTTCTTTAATTCAGTAATATAAAAACTAATTTAACCAAATAAACGATCTAATCATAAACAATGACTCGTTACCTAGTTATATAACCAAACAGTAAAGCACAAATCATGAAATTAACCCTAAAATAATATAAACAAAATTTCGTCGACACTAGCACCCAGTGCCACCGGACATGAACTAGACACGAAAAACGAGCTTCAAAATGTACAAATGTAAACCTAATCCATATACCGGTAAGACGTTTCTGCATACTTTGAGAAGCATCGTTTTTGGAAAATAGATGTATAAAACTTGTAATAAAAAATCGTTGAACATCAGGAAAACTTTAGCAAAATATAAAAGTGCACGCCTCACAAAATATATCTAGGTTGGTGCCCTTAAGAGGTTTCCGTAAATATTAACTGACCTACAAGAAAGGAAACAGACGATTCTTTCACATAATACGAGTTTCCAGATGACCGAGTGAATTCTTTAGATATCGACTACAACTTGGATATTGCTTTAGCTTTGGAGACGCTTTACTCTCGCATCACAACAAATGTTGTGGGTAAGTTGATCAATTCTATGTCCACTATTGTTATCACGAAGCTTAGAGAAAAATTAAATACACATTAAAGATGTAGAATTTAATATCATATAAGTATATACAATTAAAGAATATGGTCAATTTAGTAACACACTTTGCTGGTAAAAGTGGGGAAAATAAGCAAAATATGAGCAAAAAAATGTAACTTGTACTGTGAAACTACATATCTAGAACCGCCTTATCGGAGCTCGGATTTAGCTACTAGTGATACATTGAACATGGTTTATAAAAAAATTATCATACTATTTAAAACATGTGTTAAACTAACATAAACAACTACATCTAAATAATATTACGTAAAATTAAGTGAAGACGGAATATAAGCAGTTAATAAGATATTGAAGAACACACAGAAAGCCAATTGCAAAAACTATTCAGTATGTTTTGTTCAATTATTCAACAATAATTAAATTTATTATTATAAAAAATAAGTTTCTAAAGACGCGTCAGGCAGTCTGTAGAGTCTGTTTTTTACTTTAAATATTAATGGTTCATTTGGAAAATTATTCATTTCCCGTGACATATATGTTTGGTAAGTACATAAAAAAACATATTTTAATAATTTGAAATCACTCTGAAACTCACACATTTATTTAAACCTGGCAATATAAGAGGACGAAGTGAACGGTGCTTAGAAAAGTGTCATAAAACAAATCTTAACATTTGATTCCTTCCTTCAATAAATCCTTTATACACCTTTTACTGTATCAATTTCCTTTCAGTCTCCTTTATTTCAAGACCAATTTCATTAGTGTTTAAATGTCAAAGAATACAAAGCAATAAATAAATCTTGCTATTTATGTATTGAGCCTTGAAGTTATTGAAACTTTTCGATACAATAATGATATAAAAACTAGATTAAGACGTAACATAAAATAGTATATTTTGTATTTTGAGTGTACACATTTAAAGTGTTCGAATATAGTCGAATGCTACTGTACACTTAATTTGAAAAAGTGTATTTCTGATTAAATATACTTTTAATAAGTATCCGTTCTTGTTAAACGTAGTATACCCTAATAATTTAACTTTTTGGTTCAATAACTCTTTGACTGTTTAAATGTGGGCATTATTTCATGATACCAAGCTTTGTGGAGATTTTATGTTATTATTTTACCAGTAAAAGTTAAATCATATAAACAGAAAAGGCTATTAAGAAAATAAGTTGTTTATACGGTAATAAACTGAAGGTCGTCTTTTGTACTCTCTGATTCGAAAACTAATAAATAGAAAGAAAATTAAAATAAATAATTTTGTGTTTATCATAAGTTTTTAGATTAAATTTGTATCAGTATTTTACTAAAAAATTGATCAAAAAAGAAGAAAAAATAAAATGAAAAAAAGAAAACAAACAAAAAGAAACAAATTATATGTTGACACGCAGTCACCATGGTAATATTATATACGAAATATTTTTGACACCAATGTGAATGTTTCTGAATACTTAACATCTTCTTCGACCTGAAACTTTACTTGCAGCCAGAATTGTCCGATTTTCAAAGTGCCGGTGTATACAAATGTTAACAAATTAAAAATTCGAGTGCTTGCTTTCTAAATTGGGAAAGATCCAGGTTTTAAGCCTGGTTCGGAGATATTTTTATCCTACAAAATTATTCTTATAAAACTTTAAGATTCGATATTAGAACAACTATAGCTTTTGATTCCCCGGTACAATTCTATCCATGGATCTGAGATTATCAATTATAAAATCTTTCTTTATTTCCATAATCAATGACATAAATAAACCTACCACAAAGTTGTGTAAAATATTTTTCACCACACTATGATGTTTTTAGCTGTTTTACATACGTTAATTGGTGGCTGAAAGTTACGTTTTGCTAGCCATGCCAGCTGTCATCGTCATTCGGGGACCGAGCAGGTT